TCCTGCCATTACGGCTCTGCTCCCTGTCAGATGGCCTGACTCTGACACTGTAGCCGCCCGGACAGGGTGACGAGGAGTCCTTTGCAGTACCCATTAAGTGCAACAGTGCTTTTCAGATAAAGCACACTGATCCCGGGTGATGTCAGGTGTCCTGACATCATCAGCGTGCAGCTGAGGTGGAGGTGCCGAGGTCACCTACCCGGTAGACTAGGGATTAGGCCGAGCTTAGGGGATAACCCCGAGACGCGGATGAGCTCTGATGAGGGACGAGGTGAGTTCACCTCGGACATGCGGGATGGCCGAGGTGAGCATCCTCAACATGATAATAGAATATTTTCTATTTTCTATTTCTTTAATCAATTATTGTTACAAAGACTATCTAAATACGAACTCTTCGATCCATTGATTTTTGAATTTATTTTGAGCTTTCCTTTTATTGAATTTATTTTGAGCTTTTTGGTAATTTATGGATTCAATTTTGATAAACAGTTCTTAATATGGTTATGATGTGTACTCATAATATTTTTACCATTAAATCATAATACTATTTTTTAATATTGTACAAAAGATATAGATGTTGTTAAACAAGAAATGCATGTATATATGTCAAGTGTGAGCCCAGTAAATAAAATTCATAATTGCTAGCAAAGTAAAGACTAAAACCGTAAAATCAATTTCCGGAAGTGTATCAGAGTAAATAAATTGGCTTGTTAGATTTTGTCATTCTAATTATTTTCACCAAACTCATCCCTTCTTTTACCTCTTGGAAAGTTCATTTACTAGCCAGAATCTAGATGCGCCTTTTTTCATTTAAAAATAAAACCCATAGTTAAGTTTCTAATGAAATCAACAAATTTAAAAAATGAAAAAAATTTGTATCAACATTTTGAATGCTATTTGCCATAACATTTTGAATGTTATTTTTTCCTTGGTAAGACAAACAAAATGGAATTGTACAATTAGAATGAATTAATTATTAAGAATAAAATATATGAGCTGTGCTTATGCCCAACTTCGCATGAACATTTAATTATTCTACTTTATATCTTTTAGCTGAACTTTTCAATTTTTTCTTTTGTGAATTTGAATTGAATAATGTGAGGTGCATTACTCAATTTGGATTGTTTACATTTTTTTCTAAGTATTATTGAGGTTAGTAAAGAATGTAAATGATTTATACTGCTTAATTATCTTAGACTATCTATTTAATTGCCAATGGACATTCAATTGATAGAAATAATTGGATTCTTTTATTTGTTCTTTTCTTTCAGTATTTCTTCATACTGATAAAAAGCCCATAATTATACATCTGTCTTGTGATATTCATATCAAGATTCTCCAAATGAATATAGACTCTTTTCTTCTTATATATTTCTCTTTTGCTCCAAGAGCATATTTTTTTTGATACAAATATTTTTTACAATCTTAAAATTGTGGCTAATGCATTCATTCACACTATTTCGAATAAGAAATTATTTTGGCTAAGAAACTTTGACACACATAAGAATTGGAGATGAAGTGTAAGGGTCACTAAATAGTTTTAATAGGGAGTTTTTCATTTTAATTACCATTATTATTGAGATTTAGCTATTTGGAATGTTTCATATTTTTAATTACTACTACAATTAGAATGCAATAATTCTAATTGAAAGATAGAGATAATATGGGCACAATAAAACTAAGATAAAAAAGCGCATGATGTTATAAAATACATCAAAGTTGTGTGAATGTACAAGAAATCATTAACAAAAGTAAAACAACCGCACTAACCGCACCTATTGCTAACCATAGCTACTCCAAACCCTGCAATTTCATAGTGACATCTTAAATTGAAGCGGACCACTAAGCAATACAGACTGGAAGATATGCAGCAAATGCAACGCATATCAACTATTAGCAATGTAACAAGGAGATACTTGGATTCTTTGCTTACTATAGATGCTAAAAACACTCGAAAGCTTCTTGATAGATAGGTCAGCGTGTCCTTTACAGGTTTCAAGTAATGTGGTTGCATTAGGTGCCAAATTCCCCTTCCCCCACTGTATCTATGTGACCTTTTGTTTGACAAAATAAAAGAGTGATACGAATTTAGAGCTGAGTAGCAGCAATAAATTGCATAATTATACCTCGAACTACTAGAAGTCACTGAATTGGTCCCTTGTGGGCTCATTGAAATGTCAATCCATAGCAATTCAACAACTTTGGGATGATCCATTGAGACAAAAATGCCCAGACGACATCGTTCCAAACGAAGGTAGAAATCAATTTTAACATTCCAACTAGTTTCGCAATACTTTAAAAAAAAAAAAAGTTTCTCAATAACCAGGCAATCAGCAAATTAAAAAGGATAATTTCAGAAACCTGACAATTTTACTCAGTGCCCTCAAAATTTAAAAAATCTCATTTGGCTCTCTTGTTTTAAACTTTTTGTAACATTTGAAATCCATTTCAAAATATAATATTAAAAAACTCATTTTGAGAGAGAGAGAGAGTACAATTTCATTCCAAATTTGTCCTTTCTTGCAATTTTTTAATTATCATAACACACCAAATTTGTTGCTTATCTTTTGTAAATTGATTGATGTAGTTCTTTAATGAAAATCTAAGAGTTGGTAACAAGATCAAAAAAACTCTTTAATAATTTTTGTGTCATTTGTTCAGACAAAAAATGTTAAATTACTTAAAATTATGTATCATTTACACTACTCTTAAAAATAACTTGCAATAATTCATAACCACGAGAATACCTTTTGCACTAACTTAAAAATAATACAAACAATTATATATATAAATTTTAGCATGTTGCATCTTTTTAGTTGTCAAACCATCGATTTGGATGTCAAAATTAAAAAAATTAAAAAAAATAAAAAAAGTGTAAATGATTTATAAATTAGCTCAAAACACACATATATATTTGAAGTAGAGACAACGTTATTTGCGTGAAGTGTGAATGTAAGATTATGCTGATCTTTACGGGTCCCACATGTTGTATGTTTTATATTGTACTCGTAGTATTCCATTCCAAACAGGGAGTTTTTGAACGTTCTCAAAATAAATCAATCAATTTGATTGGGATCAAAACGTGTGGGGTCAGGTTTTTTTTTTTTTTTTTACATAATTATTCAGATAAAACCAACCCAGGCAGACCCAATTATCTTTGTAACTTACAAAAACTTTGATAAGCTTTTGAAATATATTATACACTCTTGACATTTAAAAAAAGGGATAATTTCACATACCTCCCCAAGGTTTTTAAAAATTACAGAGAGCTCCCTCTAGGTTTTAAAAATTATATATACCTCTCCTATTTTTACTTTTTAGTAACAATATAGGTCCAACAATATAGATTTTCTCACAAAATTCCTAAATTGCCCTTTAAACTAAGAAAAATATTAGTATACTCAATTATTTTCTTCAACACTTTGCACAAATCAATAAACCTAATTTTTAGCAATCATTCAAGTATAAGTTTTAAAACTAAATAGCAGTCCAAAGGATCCCAATTTACATGTATAGTATCAATACTTGCTACCTAAAAAAACACACACAAAAAAAAACCCCATTGACAACCAATTTTATATCCCAAAATTAAATATCAATGCTCAAATGCCTTTTCAATACAAATTAATCTCACTTAGAACTGCTATTACAACCCTTCTACGGTCTTAAAAATATTAATATCTCAAATATAGAAAATAAATTCTACCTCCACAATAAAATCATAATAAAAGATTTCTAATCAAATGAAATAAATCCTTATGTAATTATTGACATTTTATAAATTTTTTTAAAAATAAATAAAATATGATAAATTCAACATCTTTAGTTCTTTTTCCTATTTCAATCATCAATTTCATTATTTATTTCTCTATCACTACGACTCTCTTCATTTTCTTCTAATTTGATACATAATCTACTCCTTCTGTTGATTTTATAATTTCAATTTGCTAATATCCACAAAATTGAAGATAATAAAAAGAAGTTGTATTAACTAAAAAAGAGATGAGTGAAAATAGACAAGAGACAGAAAAATAAATTTTTTTTTGAGTTTTGTAAATTTATTGCCTTAAATTTAAAATTTTCAACCAAGTAGAGGGCATTATAGGTATTTTACTATACCAAGGGAGGTAAGTGTAATTTTTTAAACCTGAGGGGAACCGAGTGAAATTGTTAAAAATCTCAAGGGAGGTTTCTGAAATTATCCATAAAAACATAACATGAGCAATTGAAGGAGGGAGTAGAAGTTTCAATAATTCAATGATTATTATCTATTTCAAAAGATAAAAGTTCAATTAATTTGAGATCACAAGCTTGATTATTGGGACGCTAAGGAGACCATCATTGTGCGTCTCTATTTTGAACCAAGAAGCGAAATAGCTAATCTTAAAAGAAGAGGTGTGTTTCTGTTTAGTGATGATAAAATAAACTCAAGTGGGCAAAGTGTAACTTATCCCTAATTACATTGGAGATTACTGCTAACTGACCCTTTGCTTTATTTCAATTTGATTGCGAGGAGACAAAAGCAATTTCTTATTGCTCTTGGGTGGATATTATGAGCGCAGATAATAGATTATTTGAAATAATTTAAGAATCTTGCATTATTGAAAATAAATGCAGAGTCCTGAAATGGGGCAAAAATTTTGGAACGAAGAGTCCATATCACTAACTATGTTTAATTGGTGTGTATTTATATCATTAGCAGTTAGCAATTGTTCTTTTGTACAAAATCTTCCCTCTAGTGATTAATCTACAGGATGATGAGTTAGACGTTAAGCCAGTAAGAATTGTTCTTTTGTGCAAAATTTTAAACTTGAATTTAGTGCCAAATATTGATTAATGTGAAAATAACATTGAAAAAAAAGAGATTAAAAGTAAATTTGAGTTTAATAAAATAATAAATATTTTAAAACATTTTAAAATAAAAAGTAAATCGGGAAGTAGTAAAAAAAAAATAAAACGAATAAAAGAGAAACTACAAGATGATGAGCTAGACGTTAATTAAGCCAGTAAGAAACAGATGACGAGTTAGACCTGCTTTATTGCACCGTGATAAGAAGGAATCAGAGTGCCCACTGTTTTAGCTGCAAGTTGAAGGTTGGCTATATGCTGCAGATGCGACAATTTGTCGGCAAGAAGCTGTGGCTACGAATTGTCGGCAACTTCCAGGAAGTCCACGGTAAAGCGGTAAAAGAAAAGTTCGTTCGTGACGTCTTTGGCGTGTAGCTTTGCAGAGTGAAGAGGGGGGCAAATTGCAAAAAGTGGAAAAATTTGGAAGTGCAAAAAGTTGTGTGGAAAATTTTCATTCCCGCAAGTTTTAGCCTCCACAGATTTTGCTGCCCTTAGTTGCCAAAGTTGAACCATATCCTTCCTTGTCTCATCGCAGAAAGCATCCCCCCATCACCATTGCAGAACACTTTCATCCTAATTCCAATCCCAAGCGAGAAAAAAATGGCTGATGCTGCTGTTAGTGCTACTATTAAGGTTGCATTGCAGGCGGTTGTTTCCCTTGCTGCTGATCATGTTAATCTGGCTCGTGAATTCCCAGAGGAGCTGGAGAGACTCAACAAATCTGCTGAAATGATCCGAGGCTTCTTGGCCGGTGCTGACGAGGTAAAACATAGCCATGATCCGAGGCTTCTTGGGGTGCAAAAGTGGCTCGAGCAGCTGGAAGAAGAGGTTTTCAAAGCTGACAATGTGCTGGACGAGCTCAACTATGAAAATCTTCGTCGGCAGGTGAAGTATCAACATCAACTCATGAAAAAGAAGGTATTCTTCTGCTTTTCATTCTTTAATAAAATTGGTTTTCGTTCGAGGTTGGCTTCAACGATCAGGGAGATCAACACGAACCTTGAAAGGATCCATCGGGATGCCGACGGTTTGGGGCTGGCCTACAAGCCCCAAGTTGAAGAAGCATTCGCTACTATTGCTACTGGAGCCACAAGCAGAAGACAGACCGACTCGAAGATTGTTCGAAGTGATGTCCGAGGAAGAGACGAGGATGAATCAGAAATAGTTATGAAGTTGTTGACCGAATCTGAAAGTGATCGTATTTCAGTTATTTCCGTAACTGGCATGGGTGGTTTAGGCAAAACAACTCTAGCTAAAGCCGTTTTCAACACTCCACAGTTTGATAATCATTTTGACAAAAAAATTTGGGTTTGTGTGGCTGAAAAAGTAGATAGAATCGAGGTGGTCTTCAAAATGATTCTAGAATCGTCAACAGGAAGAAAGGCTGAAGTGGATAATAGGCAAGTAATAGTTGACGGAATTGAAACTGAACTTAAGGAAAAAAGATATTTGCTTGTTCTTGACGATTTGTGGAATGATCAAGAAGGATTGTTGAATGACTTTTTCACCACTTTGGAGGCACTCAAACCGAAGAAAGGGAGCTGGTGTCTTGTTACTTCTCGTCTCCAAGAAGCGGCAATTGTTCTGTCAAGACATCGGCGGATCAATTTTACTCGTCATGACCTAAGAAAGCTATACGATGATGACTGCTGGTCTATCGTGAAAAATTGGGCAAATGTAGGGGAAGAAGTGCCAAAAGAATTGGAAGCCTTAAGGAAGCGAGTTTTAAGAAGATGTGACGGTCTACCTCTGGCAGCAACGTTAATTGGAGGTTTGTTATCTAAAAAGAGAAAAGAGGAGTGGCTATCTATTTTGGAGGAGAGCCTCTTGAATGGAGATCAGGGTGGGATCGAGCAAATAATTAAGGTGAGTTTTGATCATCTGTCACCTGCACCGGTTAAGAAATGCTTCGCATATTGCTCAATTTTTGATCAAGATACTGAATTGGAACAAGATCTACTAGTTGAGCATTGGATGGCTGAAGGCTTTCTTCAACCGGATTCCCAAAATGAAAGAATGATGGAGAAAATAGGATATGAGTATTTGAGAATTTTGCTGCAAACTTCCTTATTGGAAGAAGTAAAAGATGAGTGGGGAACATGGTATAAAATGCATGACCTTGTGCATGATTTTGCAAAATCAATTTTGAATCGTAATGGCAGCAATCAGGACCGTTACCTTGCAGTATACTCATCCGAAAGAGAAACCATCAATGAAAAACCATCACTTCGCACATTATTTCTGAAGGGTGGCATAGCTGATGATATGTTGTCAAAGTTCAAATACTTACATGTCCTAAAATTGTTTGGAGCAGATGTCAAAGAGTTGCCGACCTCCATTGGCAAACTAATACATTTACACTTACTTGACATTTCAGGTTCTAGGATTAGAACTTTGCCAGAATCTCTATGCAAACTTTACTGTTTGCAAACACTGAGAATTGGCATGCTTGTATGCAGGTTTCCAAAGGAGATGAGCAATTTGATTAGCATGAGACATCTTCACCATTATGATTATGATACAAGACACCGAATCCAGATGCCATCCGGGATTGGACGATGGACTTGTCTTCAAACGTTAGAGTTCTTTAATATAGGTCGTCAAGAGGAAGGTCATGGTATCCAAGAGCTTGGAACCTTGCAAGATCTTAAAGGCTCCTTGGAGATCGGAAATCTTGAATTAGTAAATGGCAAAGATGATGCTGAACTGGCGAAGCTATCTAAAAAGCCAAATCTGCATCGGTTGGTATATGAGTGGGGCAATAGGGATCGGGGAAGTGATAATTGTGATGAAGATGTGTTGGAAGGCCTCCAACCTCACCCAAATTTAAAAGAGTTACAAATTTTGAAGTTCATGGGTGATCAGTTTCCACAATGGTTCATGACATTGACATCACTGGTGGAGTTGCGGGTGGAGGATTGCACAAGATGCAGAAAGCTCCCAGCACTAGGACAGCTGCCATTCCTCAAGTGCCTCTATTTGACTGGATTGGAAAACATAAGAAGCATTGGGCTTTCATTCTACAGTACAAGTGCTGAGGAGGACGGCGGATCAGGAGGTTCAAGCACTATTAGCAGACAAACATTCTTTCCAGCCCTTAAAATTCTCTCTCTTAAAAGCATGAAAAATTTGGAAGAGTGGAAGGACGCGCACGAAATGATGTCAACCGCAGGTGAAGTACATGTGATGGATGTGTTTCCCGTGCTTGAAACGCTGTCTATTAGTGATTGCCCCCGGCTGACCACCATTCCAACTCCAAGTCGCTTCCCTAGTCTTGATGTATTGGAAATAAAAAGGAATTGCCATGTTTCGCTGGCAGAAAAGGTTTTGAGAATTGATTCATTTGGATATCCAAATCCTAAAAATTCATTTGGACAGAAAGGCCTCCTTAAGTCTCTTGAGCGATTTACTGTCGTTGAGTGCGATGCATTGACAAGGTTACCAGCGGAGATGTTCGAGTCGTGTACGTCTCTCCGAGAGCTGAATTTGTTCGGTTGCCGCAGTCTGGTCTCCTTTCCCCTTGATTTGCGACGAACCCCTTCTCTCGAGAGCTTCAAATTATTCGACTGTCCCAACTTGATTGCTGAGATGCCTAGTGGATTTGGCTATCTTACCAGCTTAAGGGAAGTGACGATTGGTCCCTTCTCGGATGACTCTGCAATCAAATTTGATTGGGCTGGATTAGCATCTTCATCATCACTCCGACACGTGGCTTTACGTGGAATGCGTGACACGGAATCTCTGCCACATCAGCTTCAATGCTTGACTACCATCACATCACTAAATCTACAAAACTTCGGAGCAATCGAAGCCTTACCAGATTGGCTTGGGAACCTTGCGTCTCTTGAAGAGCTAATCCTATTCTGGTGCCAAAAGCTTGAATATTTACCCTCCGTAGATGCCATGGAACGCCTCAAATTAAGACTTCTGGAAATTCGTTTTTGTCCTCTATTAACCAAAAGATGCACTCCTGAAAGCGGCTCCGAGTGGCCCAAGATCTCTAATATTCCAAAGCTTGGAATTCATCCGGTAAGATCTCATCTCAAAATTTCAACAGTTAATTTTCTTTTTTGCTTATTTTCAATTATATTCCTAAAATTCATTTTAACTTGAGTAACAGAAATATGTGAAACAAATGAATAACAATTTTGGAACATTAACTTATCCAAATAATTGTAATATATAACTTTTCTAAATTAAAACTTAGATGAAAACTACTAACATTATACATGATTTGGTTTGGAATTATTTATTTAAATTTTTATTACTTGATTATGTAATTAGTTTTGTGAGAAATTGATTTTATTAGAAATTACAATGATAAATTAATAAATTAAAATTAAGTTTCGGGTCATTCGGGTCGACCCGCCAACCCGTTAACCTGAAATTTTCGGGTTCGGGTCAGCATACCTGACCCGTCACGGGTTGGCGGGTCGGGTTCGGGTCAACAGATTTTCTGACGGGTTGACCAGAACCCGACCCGCCAACCTGATTTGGATCCGAATTGCCACCCCTAGTTACGAGCAAATTGAAAGACAACAAAACAACATTGTGAATTGGATATGTTCTTATGGGGTATGTTCTTATTTTTTTTGTCACTGATATTTCCAAACAACATTAAAACCAATGAAATAGCAATTTGGGGAGAACATTACAATTTTTGTTTTTACTGCTGGCATTTAATAGATGGATATGTTCTTAATATTCACTGTTACTCTCTCTGTAAGACTCTGAATTATGATTGCCGTAAAATTAGCTCAATGTCGATTAAGTTGAAATTGTTTGCAGAGGAACTAGGCTGCTGCTAAAACTATAAATTCTTATCATCTTTTAAAATTTTTAAAATTCAGATACTATAACTAGCTACTTTTCTGTTTTGTGAATTGGATTGATAATATTATGGCCTTGCAGGAAGCATCAAGCACTGATAACTCCGAAACATTGTGAAAGGCTCAAAAGTGTGCTCAAGGCAGAGTCAGCCTGGAACCTCTAGAGCATCTTATTGCACTTTTCACATTCTCCAACTACAACATCAGGCTGTGGTTTCCCATCATTTTTGAAGAAAGATGAGGAGGTATGTGGTTTGGAAATGACTCCACCCAACTTACTAGAAGTACAGGGGAATTGGTCCAAGTTTGTTTAAGTCATGTAATTGTGCCTAAATGTAGGGTGGTATCTGCACTAGTAAGTGTTCTTTGTGGCTTAATCGATGGAATTTAGCTTAATTTCTGCTCTTTAGGATTTTGAGTGATAAATTGTTGCATTAGTCACCAGACCAAACCTTTCTGTGGCTCATGTTTCTACACAACGTCATAACTGAAGCAGAACTATGATGTAATATTGTTATTTTTTTTTTCCAGAATTTGTTTAGGAAGTAGAGTACATGCTTTTTGGACAAAGAACACCAAGGTTCCCATATTGTTCTTATGAGAATGTCAAGAGGGAGGAGTTATTTTCGCTTATCAGTCAGGTTTTGAAGATGGAAGGTAGTCATATGTGATTTTGCCCACCAAAATGCCATAAATTGCTCATTTTTGTTTTTTATCTATTTCCTGGAAGTATTTAACAAAATAGATCAAATATTGAACCTTTTCTCCTTGTAGCATGCTGAAAACAGAGTGGCTTGTGACAGGCTTGTAGAAAGTACTATGGATTGAGAAGAATTAAAGGGCAGCGGCAAGAACCTCATTGAATTTGTTTTAGTGAAATAACATGCCCTGAGTACCTTCGTGGTTCTTAACTAACTAAATTATTTTGACGTGTCTACTTCAAGATAAATAGTCACAATCCAAAAAATTGCAGTTTGAATGATCAATAAACAGGTTTTGTTATTGTAGCATTCTATCTGTTATGTTTTAGCTAAGAAAGACTAGCAAACCTAAAAATAAATTATAATTATTAAGAAACTCCCTTGGAATATGTAACATTTCAGAAGACTAATGACGGTGGGGGATCAATGATAAATGTTTCACGTGAAGTTCTCCAACATGGTTTCACCTAATTAGAGGTACTCTACCATAAAGTATCTGCTTCTTAGGTTAAATGAGCATGTTTCACCATTCCATGGAAGTTGATAAATAACTCTTAAGAATTGAAAGAAGAAGGAAATTACTGACCAATACTGAAAGGATATTGACATCCATTTTTTATTTTTGTTTGGCCCAAAGAGTTTAGTCTGTTAGGTGAAATCAGTCAGCCAAAAGAAGTTAATCAGAGAATTTATGAATGCTAGTACATAAATATAAATTCTGTATTCTTTCTTCTGATTATTTTGGGTTATCATTTTAGAAAGAGAGGAAAGATTATCATCTTACTCCTCCTTTAACTTTTAGTTAAACATTTTGCTTTGATCATGACTTTCTTTTCAGAAAGAATCACAAGGGCAATTTATGCAAATTTGATTGACTTTTGCTACCATTACTTTTTTTTTTCGCTTTTTAGCCCTTCATTTTTGGTGATTTTTCGATTCCAACTTGCATAAGGACTTTTTTGGCTCATGGTAAAATATTTATAGAAATATCCATTTGAGCATTTTCAAGAAATGTCTTATGGGCTATGTTGTAACATGTAGGAAGCAGTGGCTTCCAAGCAAAAATGTAATGGATGGTGATGTGGTAGGCAATTGTTCACTTAAGGAGTGATGATCAGTCTTCTAGAAAGCAATGTGCGACGGAGTAAATGAAGAGGTATGTAGTCTCAGTGGATTAAAGGTCTACTACGTTTGTGTTGCAGTTGCCATAAATTCAAATCAATCACATATAAAAGATGAGCTCTACACTTTGTGTTTTTGATGTCTTAATCGATGCAATTTTGCTTAATTTTTGCTGTTTAGGAATTTTTGTAATACATTCTTCATAAGTATTGAAGGTTTGACATGCCTAATTTTACCCTTAATATTACTGCAACGTAACATGGTGATTTTTTTTTTCCTGAATCTGTTTGGGAAGCAGACTTCATCTTTCCGCTACTAGTTGCTTATAGAGTTCTTTGCTTATTGTGAACTGTTAATCGGATATCTATGTCAATATTTATGGCAATCAGTGTCTAACAGGCTATGTTGGAACACGTACAATGCAACAGTTTCCGAGCTGTAGTGTATGAATGTAGTTTCTATTGATTAAAAGCTTGCTTCTCTTGAAGTTGGCATGTCTTTCACATACACATGGAAGTGCCTGAGAAGTTTTCATGTATTTTGCAGGTTTCTTCTAATTTGATTTGCTTCAGACAGAGGAAAGCATATCAAGGAACCAATTTGCTGCTGAGACTAGTAGCCAATTTGGTTGATCTTGGTTCCATTCCATTATAAGCTCTCTGGATTCCTCTACTTGTCAATCGCATGAACATAGATCTCATATCATTGGAAGCATTGAAAGTGAGAGGATGAGAAAGGCAAGAGCATTGGAAGCTAGTTGCTGGATTGTAGGCGTGAAAAAGTCCTTCAATTCACATTTCTATTATTTGTTGCTACACTAAAGTTTTGCTCTATAGTACTGTATCCCAAGACTTCAGTTTAACTATACTAAAAGCGTCGTACACATGGCTAGCTAGAATGCATGTATTACTCTAGCTTGGCTTGCAGACAGAAAGAGCATTGCAACAGATACTTGAGAAAATGAAAAGAGTTAGTCCCTTTCTTTGTAAGGGGCGGGCAGGATGTGGGGAGGGGTTGGGAGGGTGAAAAATAATTTTAAAAAATGGTGAAAAAGAATAAGAAAATAAAAAGCTTTTGTGGGATAATAAGCTTTTCTTTGTAAAATCAGTTGGACATTATAAAGCATCATTTTTTTAAGAAAAAAGGCATACATCTAACAATTCAAAATACATATTTTTGCCATGATTTTCAAGAAATAAGTTGCCAAAAGAAAAAATTTTGGTAACATTAATCGAGAATTATTTAAATTGTTTACGAAGAAAAGAAAAGGATTTAAATTGTTTACAAGGAATGTGCATTAATGCCCCATTTTTTTAAAATTAGATTACAAAAATGGATCGTTCCAGTTACTCTTTTTTGAATATATTAGGATGTATAGTGGAAATGGCATACCAAGCACCGATGTTATTGGACATAGCAGCCTTGCTTGTTAAAAGTTTATAGGGTAAATTATATTTTACCCTCGCGCAATTTGGTGCTTTACAAAATAATTTCTCTATGGTTTAAGAACCTATACATGATCTCTTTTCGGTTTGAGTTAAAGTGTCATTATTATTTTATCCAATAAAATTAATCATCAATATTAAAAAGTCAAAATCAAACTAATAAATTAACAAATTCACCCTTTCATTACTTTTTTTTCTCTTTATTTATCGGGTACCACCTACCCGCTTGCATGAATAGTTCGAGAAAAAGGAATAAACTCTTATCAAACTAAAGTTAATACATATAACAAATTAATTCAATACAAAATTTTGAGTTTTAAATTTGGGCAGAGCCATAGAACTTGCACAAGAAAAATCAAGCGTATTATGAATAATTATATCAACATTCTTCCATTATTAATCACAATTTTCTCCATTTGAAACTTTAAGTTAAATTATGCCGCTGGCTATTAACAATTTTCCCTCATTAATAATGAATCCTAACAAATAATTCATTGATCCTCTAATCAGATTAAGTATCGGGTGGGGTACCTACCGATAACAAGTTTTACCCTACCCATTGCGTTTGATATTTTTATGCCCAAATTATCCTACATTTGATTTCTTTAACTGAATTATCAACACTTCACTATACATTCCACTTTTACTTGGGAAAATGGAGTAACATTGGGTGTTATTAGACTCTTACCCCTTACCACTTCCACATCCTTATGGAATGTCTCTTCCTCATATATTGGACCCTAAGTTGGATCAAATTATCAACCTTTTATCGAATAGTTGTTGGATAGAGCTATTGTAACTAGGCTTTGATACCAATTTTGGATAATATTTTGCATTCTCACCCTAAAAGTTAACTTAATGGGTGAGACTTTTCCTAACACTTATATTCTAACACATATCCCTTCCACAACTATTGTGGGATAAAACCAACAAGTAATATGTATTAAGTTCAAATAAAAATGGAATGGAAAAAAAATTAAATCATAATATTGAGCCATAGCAAATTTCCTTCATCAAACGCAAATAAAAAAAAAGCCTAAGATTCAATTATTGGAGTTAAAGGTTATAAAAAATAAACAAAAATTAAGGAGCAGTTTTTAGCAAAACATTGGCAGCTACTCTATCTGTCTATCTATCTATCTATACTATATTAAAAGCACAAGTTTGAATTAGTGGATAGTGCATTAGATTTTGTTTTCCAATAATGCCCTCAATATGTAATTTAATGTTGTTTTATAGCCTTGCCTTGTTGAAGATGATTGAGGCTATATATGTAATGTTAACACTAAAGTTGTTAATTTAAAATAACGTTGATATTTAAATATATCCATTTTAATTTTCATGAGGAATAAAAGCTCCTATAGGAAAGCAATTCCTTGGAGGGATTTTAGAAGTTTCTATGGCTACATTTTGGTATCAAAATAAGAATGAGGAAATTTTTTGTGAATTATTTTCTCATTACTTTATAAATAAAGTTTATATTGAAATATATTACCATAATTTTCTTGAGTAATAAAAGTTTGTAACGAAAAGAAAATCCTTGGGAGGACTTTTAAAATAAGAATCAAGAAATTACTTTTTGTGAAGGAAAATTTCTTATTTGTGCATGAAAATTTTAATGACATCTAATGTATCTAAACTTGGATATCTATTTCATTATTCTTAAGGCCATTCGTGTATCACTTTTTGGTTTTATTTTAGGAACGGAATTTTTATCAAAGAAATATTTCCCCGTATTATTTGATACGTTGCAATAGTAATAAAATCTCTTGGGATGGATTTTAGAAATAAATAAGACTAATAAAGAAATTTATTGGGGAATAGTTCTCATAACTAATCTAGAAGAAAAAAGAAACCTGCAAATTGCTGAAGTGGTAAATAAGAATCCGAACATATACAAGTTTTCTTCTTTTTTTTTTTGTATAAAAAACACTATCATTTCGTTAAATCTACACTAATGAAAGAAATTACATTAATCATACACAGATGTAAGCAGATGTGAAGAATATATTTTTTTTATTGGTAAACCCCATCCGTGCGGTGGGAATGCCAGCCCCTTATTTTGTTAATTAAATAAGAAATAAGTATAACGAGCCTAAGAAAATATCAAACAATGAGCTCCTTTACAAATTGCATGTTGTTGTAAACTCCTAAATTTTTTTAACATGATAAACCAAAGCAAGACTTCGAAACCAACTACCTTGGAGTACATGTGCATACCAAGCGTAAGATTTGATTAATCTACGTGATTCTTGGAGTCTCGTACTGTCAAGGCACGAATCTAAACTTGAACTTCTTAAGTTTTGCTTTTGGAGATGATTCATAGAGATGATTTCTAAACAAAGGTATTAAGGAATATTTTCAACAAAATCGATGTTTGGCGTTTACTTCTGTACTTGTTGAAACAATCTCAATCTAAATCGTTGTCGCTAATGTATAGAATATAATGACTTCGTTTGCCTTGTAGTTTTATGAATTGGACTATTTAGCTTTCATGGCAAAAATACAGAATTTTAGTAATAACAATTCCGTTCCGACAAATGGGATTTTTGTCTATAATTTGGAGGTCACTTGTTTGAACGCATTAACAATACTAACACAATCTGATAATCAATATTGCAAATCGTGACTTATGGGGTGATAAAAATTTTAACCCAATTATGGGCAAGTGATGAGAAGTGTTGAAAAGGATTCCTTATTGACGTGAATACTTTCTAACCCAATTGCCCTTTTTTGTAGAGACTTGGACCGGAGTAATCGTTTGAAATACATGTATTTTCGCAGTGTCTCTGAGGATCTTGGTCATTGTAGTTTGTAAGTATGTGTTAAATCCATTTTTGCTTTGTATCATGTTATTTGTTGTGTATCTGTTTCCTTGTTTTTTCTCATGAAGGAACAGATAATATATCAAGGACAAAACCATATAACGGTTAGAACATAGCTCTGATGTTTGCAGTTAGGTTACTTTGTTCTCATTTTCTCTCTAGGATCTATTACGAGGCAAAAACCCTGTTTGATAATTGAATTTGGTATTTAAACTTTATCGATTCAAATTTTAATATGTTCGGATATGTTTAATAACTAAAAAATATAATATTTGAATTAATTGAATGACACTGAATTTTTTAGACAAAACTTGCTCGCAAAAATAAGTAATAGACTATTCATTATTATTTAATATGACATAAATTCAAATATATCAGATTTAGTCATTATTTGATAATCCAATTCATCACTTAAAATTAATGGATTCGGATCTTAATATATTTAAACACGTTTGATAATGAAAACTTGAACATCTTAATTCATTGAGTGGCACTAAATTTTGTAAGTAAAACTTGCTCCTAAATATAAGTAATAAACTATTCACTTATCATTTAATGTGATATACACTCAAAATATATGATATTTAGTATTTAATAATTTAATGGATTCAGACTTTGGATTTTAGGTTTCAAATTTCAATTTTTAGATTTCAATTTTATCAAACGCACCCTTAGTACTTAACAGTTCAATAACTTAATGGATTCAAACTTTAAATTTCAGATTTCAATTTTATCAAATGCACCCAAAGTTGAAGATGAATAAGGTTGACTAGATAATAGAATCCTCAATTTTGATCCCTTAGACAAAGTTAGTTTCTAAAATGTTTGTTAGGCTGTATTCTTCATTCTAAAGGCTGTGTTCCAAGTTTAAACATCCCATGAAACCTGATAGATTCTTCATTCTTTATTTTTATTTATCTTTTTTTGGGAGATTATCAAAGAAAAAGAAGTAATAATGAAACTGAAATTACTGTTCAGGAAAAAAACGTTACTAACTATTTGTAGACAATGAAATTGTTGTTTAAAATTTCAGTCAAGATAAAATAAATTGGCCTTTGATAGATTAAATTAAATCATATTAAATTTTGTCAAATCCAGTAACTTTTGCCGTGACAAGTTAGGCCCATGCCATGTTGGTCTCAATATAAAGTTGTAAGGTCCATTTAAATTGAAGTGGATTAATTAATTTATTAATTTAAAGTAGACTATTGGGCAAATGTGTTATTAAAACCCAAAATAAATAGGTTTTGGGTTACGCAGGAAGATTCTGGAGGATTTCTTGAAGACCAAGTCTACATATTTTGGCTGTAAATAGAACATATATTGAAATTCCTAAATTGTGAAATAAAATTGTCTTAAAAACTCTCAAGAACTAAGAGAACTGAGAAATCACATAACAATAAATGTTTCAGGAGCTTCCATTAATGTATTTCTCATACAATATTTTGAAGCTCCAAAATTATTCAAAATCTAGATCTTCTTTCTCAAACGCTTCAAGGATGAGCTAATGATATAATATTTATTTTCTGACCTCTATGGTTTACTTTAAGGTAAGACGTATTTTGTATTTAATTTCAAGTAGAAAAACCTAAAAAATAAAATATTTGGAGTATAATGTAGATGAATTTTCCAAATTAAAATCTTACGTGTGAAGTCAAGTATGAAAGCAAGCAGCAGATCAGGCAATTCTTTTGGAGCACTTGTAGG